CAGGGCATTAATCCTCGACAATGTTTAGCAATCCTTCGGGTAGGTGGTATTTAAGTTAATGAAGTCGACACACACCTCCACTTCCTATTGGCTCTTTGGACCATGACTTTTTTTGAAATTTAGGTGGTATTGCACCTGTGAGATGTACCCCACCTCCTGTAGCTTCAACATCTCCTCCTTGATGTGTCCAGTTGTGTGATCACTGAGTTCTCTGTCTTATGCTTGATCGGCCAGATCGTGGATCTCACTTTCAATCTATGATAGGCAACATCAGTCAATATGCCAAGAATCTCCACTGAGGACCAGAAAAATACGTCATAGTGGTCCCGAAGCTTTTGAATTAGAAGCTCCCGACACCCTGCATCAACATTGGCACTTATTAAAAAAGATTTATCGGGTTCTTGTTCACCGACTGGGTTCTTCCAGGTGGCCTGACTATTTTCACTGCCACCCTTCTTCCAGTTCTGCAGTCAAGTGGCTCCTGTTCTACACTCTCAACTGCCCAGAAATAGCAGACTCGGGAAAACTCCAAATCTCCTTTGATAGTAATTATTTCACCATCTCCCGGAAACATTACTGCTACGTGGTAAGTAGACACCACAGCTTTGAAACGGTTTAGCAGTAGGTGACCAAAAATAGCATTGTAGGTTCGAGGCGAATCCACGACCAGGAAAACTTTTGTCTTTGTGAAGTATTTCTTTCCTTCACCTTAGGTGATCACCAATGGCATTACGCTCAATGTCTCCTTCCTTTCACCTTAAAAATCAAAAAGTGGGCCGACCTTCTCTATCAACAGACCAACCTGATGATTAAGCTTATTGAACACTGACTTAAACAAAATTTTCACAGAGCTGCCAGTGTTGATGAGGATACTCTAAACTTAAAAATTACTAATTATCCCCATGATGACTATAGCCTCATCGTACGGTTTTCTCCAAAAGGAAGATCATTGTCTGTGAACGTGATGAGGGGACAACTTCCTCTCCTCTACATGGAGACAAGGTTTCACAACTTTCTCGCCCTAGTCCTCTTCTAGAAGCTCCTCTTTGAGGATAGCTTGAACTATCCTGGTGACAGGACGACATTCATCTGGATGGGTTCTGGTGGGGTGTCTAGCGTTAACTTCTTCTCATGTCTCTGACTTGAGTGCCCCTAAGCCATGAATTTATGTAGTTTTCCCATTTTGATAAACTCTTTAAAGAGACTCAGGCAATGCCTACATTCCCCTGTGTCGTGTCTATGATCACAGTAAAACTTACAATACTTCCTCGCATCTCGGAAAAAACCTCCTGCTTTCATCAGTGCAAGTTCCTTGAAATACTCTTTGTTCTAGATGATGATCATGATTTCTACCATTGACACCCTCAAAGAGGTAGCTCACACGCCCTCATAATCTTTGTACAACTCTTTAAAATGCTATGTCAGCCTCTCATAGTACCAGGCTTGTCATGAGTCCTGATTCTTTGATTGGCCATCTTGTTGGTCGTATCATTCGATCCTTTCGCCATCGCAAGAGGACTTATCACCTTCAAAACGATGTTGAAGGTCTGTATTCTTCCCTTGGTTTTGACCCATTGCCAGGGAGAGCACTCTTCTGGGCATGGAACCCTTTTGATTTTCATTTGAGGATACTTTCTTTTGCTAGCATGTGCTCGTTGGCCTTTTCCAACAACTCGACAAGTCATGGTGTTCCTTAATGTTAAGGTCGTAGGAAAACCTCTTGAAACTTAATGCTTGTGCTGAATTTGAGGTCTTTCACCTCCGTCGTTTCCCTATTGAATTGTGCGATGAATCTGCATAGACTCCCGTGCTCACCTTGCTTGAGTTGCCACAAGGATTGCATGCTCTTAGTGTGTCTTTGAGTGTTGGTGAACTGCACTAAAAAATAATCTCTTGAAATTAGCAAAGTTGTTGATGCACCCGACCGAAAATGCTTGGAACCACTTCAAGGCTCACAACCTTAAAGTGGTGAAAAGATAGATGGCACTTGAACGTGTTTGAGATTTTAAGTAGGCACATTAACAACACAACTGTGGTGATATAGTCATTGGGTCTAATCGTCCCTTGTAAGCATTCAAGGCTCGTAGTTTGAATTTTTTTGGGGGCTTCACTCCATAGATTTTTGAGGGAGAAAGTGTTCTCTAGCTGACATCGTGCCTTAGTACGCCCTACATGTTGCATTTCCACCTGTGTGGATCCTGCACTTTCTTAGTGCTGCGAGTCAGTAGCCCCTCAAGACCGTGGTTCACCCTCCTATTGTTGTGTGTCGGTGACACCTCCTGTAGTTGGTTTTGCTCTTGTTAGAACTGATTTCCTGTCAGGGCTGTGATGACCCTCAGAACTTTGATGATTTGACCCCACACCTGCTTCATAATTTGAGCTCTCATCTTTCGCATTCCGCTATGCATACGTTCCTCCATGTTATCTCGTAAGAGAGCTATGTTAGCTACTTCTCTTTGGTCATTCTCTTTTCTCTGTGATTGTTGTGCTATTCTTCTTGTTGACAACATGACTTCACGCTCATCGCACCTTTTAGGATGTTGAATCCAAATATGTAAGGATGACCTGCCTAAGGAATGAAGCACTAAAGGATGCGAGAGAGAGAAAGAGAGAGAGAGAGAGAGAGAGAGAGAGAGAGAGAGAGAGAGAGAGAGAGAGAGAGAGAGAGAGAGAGAGAGAGAGAGAGAGAGAGAGAGAGAGAGAGAGAGAGAGAGAGAGGTGAAGAGCAATAAAACAACAAAGAATAGTAAATTCATATATCTTTT